TCTTTGCGAGTGCAAACTGACTTTTTGAATAGCAAACAAACAATAAAGAGGTTGGTAAATCTTTTCCGAAGCTTTCTTATTGAGAAAAATAGAAGCGGGGAGTTTGAAAGCTTTCTACGCGTGAACTTAACGACGATCTCCGAATATTTTTTTTTATGACATCCGAAATCAATAAGACATTCAGTATAATAAAATAAATAGTGCACGTTTTTGAGGGTAACTGTTGAAATTGACACCCCAAGGAAAACCATTGTCAACCGACGCGTCAGCGTCAGAGAGAAAGAGAATGTCAGAATGGGTAATATTAATATATAATTATTAATTATTGGGTAATGCAAAATTGTTTTCCTTGATATTGTGAAAAACTTTGATAAAACTAATAAGACGTACATTTAATGTTATTATTCAGTGGCGATGTCTTAAAAAATTGTCTTAAAAAATAAAGGACTATCATTTTAAATAATTTAATTTTTTCATACGCATTTCGTTCATTATTGTTCTGTTAATTAGTGGCTCAGATTTGACTTGAAACAACTAAATTGAAATGACTCAATGGAATTTCTTGGATATTGCATTAAAAGAGTGATTAGTGGACACATTTTTATATATTGAAAAATATTAACGCACGCTGTCTACAGTACATCTTTCAAAATGATGTGCGAGGTGCACTTGCCATTAATTGTGCTTTTTAGCGTTCTAACTTTTCTCGTGTAATATAGCGACAGTGACCATAGATGTGAAGAAAAAAAAGTTTACTTACAGGTCGCCAGTCTATGTTAGGAAAAATAAACGTAAAATGTGAAATGTTTTGTTATAACAAGCTGGACATACCCGCCGTATAAATAAAGTCATCTACGTGGCATTACATGTATCTATATTTAGAGATAACTCTTCAAGCGTCGTGGGTATTTAAATGTCCTTCTCGATTTAGGGAATAATCGCGAGTTTCTGCAACACCCTCTTTACAGTTTCTTAAAAGTTTAAATTTTTCAATTTTCATATTCTGAAAATTTACAGTAATTTCTTAAAAGTATAAATTTTTCAACTAATATTCTATCCACAATATTTTTTTCTAGCATTGAGATACTTAGTTTATGCACATTTTTAAACCTACTTGCAAAAATAAATTGCTTAACAGTAAGTATTAATATATTGTGTAGTCTAAACATGGTTTTATTATTGAATTTGCCGAAAAGTATATCCTGACTATCAAAATTAATGAAAAATGAAACTTATATATAAACCACTCCTAAATGTGACACCATATTTTTTAACACGGGAACACTCGCAAAATAAATGTTCAATCGTTTCAACATCTTGTTTACAAAAGGAACAGGTGAATCAATTAGTTTGAGTTTATAAAGGTATTTATTTGTTGCAATAATCCTATGCGGTAATTGAAATAGCATCCACTGAAATTTTGCTCCTTTTGTTGCTTTAAAAGGAAGTTCGAATATTTTGTTCCAGTCTATATCGTCAAAAAACTTCCATTATTTCCCCATTTTTCTAGGACCCTAATTGCTTTCTTTTTCTTCCTAATGAGTATACTGTACATGTCTTTACAGCCTTTTGTACTTTTATGAAAAAAATATAAAGCGAAGTTGGGATAAAGGGTCCATTTTCTTCTCTTTTTTCAATATCAATAATTTTCAATATTTTTAAAACAGCTACTTTTAAACCTGCATATTCTACAAAATTTGTTTTTACATTTAGCTATAGATTTGTGAGGTATTCAAGGCATACAAATTCTCCTTCAGAGTTAAACAGTTCTCTTACAAAAACATAGCCTGTATCAAAATAACTTTTCAAAAAAAAGATAAGTTGTTTATTTTAATTCTCGGATTAAACCATATATGTTCATGAAGGATTTGCATATTATTTTGACTACCAGATTCAATTATTTTTACCCAATTAAGTAAAACTTCTTTCCAAAACTTGTTTCTTATTTTATTACACATATTAACAGTAAAGTCTAAACCTCTTACCCATAGAGATTCAACTTTCATTCCTAATTCTGATTGAAGAAGTTTTACCCATTTTGTGTCTGAGTAAATTAGTCTTCGGATCCATGTTGATTTTAATGCACATAGAAAATCTATATATTCAATCATTTTCAATCAACCATTTCCATGATCTTGAATCATAACATTTTTCTTAACCCTATGAATTTTACTTCCCCATAAAAAGTAGTAAAGGTCTCTCTTAAATTCATCTAGGAGTTCCTTATTAGGGTTCGGAATAGTCAATATCAAATTGTTCATCTTTGGTATAATCAAGGATTTAATCACTGTTAATCTACCAATTGGAGTAAGTTTTCTTAATCGCCATTGTTTTATCAATCGCTTTATTTCATTTAATTTTGAGGGATAATTCAGATCAATATTTAATCATTTCGTCTAAATTAATAGTAAGTTTTACATCAAGAAGATCAAAAGTAGAATTATTCCAATCTAACTTCCGTCTCGAGTGATGAAAAACTTCTTTGGAAAAATTTTTACTGCCAATTCAAACCATTTTAGTTTTTGTGAAATTAATTTTCAGACCAGACACAAGTGCAAAAAAATCAATTAAGTTCTCTTAATACACCATCCATAGATTGTGGTGATCCATCAGCATATTGTGAAAGTTTGTATTCCTCCCCATCAATTATAATTCCCTTTATATCTTTGTTATTTCGAATCAGAATCCAAAGAACTTCAGCACAAGTTCCAGTATTTATTAATTGCTTAAATAAAATGTTTTGTTGCTTTAGCTACAATGTAAATACAAAAAAAAATTCCTAAATTACGTAATTCTTTAACATTCTGTGTACTAAGTAACTGTACCAATTTGAAGACACTTGGTTTTCGGGAGTAGTAACTTGTTTATATATTTTTGTCGTAATGTATTATAATGTGGCATTTTGGAACAAAATTGAATTCATAATGTAAGTAATGCCCCTCCAGATGTTGATTTCATTTGAACATATTTTATTGCAATAAATATATACAATGGGATTGGGCACAAGTTCTAAAAACTTAATTCGCCCTCTCCCTACATGTAATATCACAAAAGATTGAATTAGACGTGTCCAACAGTATGTACAGAGTAAATTAACTCACAACATAGAAACTAGCGTTTCACAGTGTTGGCCCCGCAATGTCTCTTGGAGGTCACATAGATGTGGGGAAATATCGACAAAGTTCCTTGGTAGTTAAATGAATATACTCGCAAAGCATCATAATTGTTTTCTTATTTTAAACTTGATGTTTGTATATATAGAGACCGATCGGGTCTCGCCCACACGGTATCTTTTTCAGTAGATGAAACTCTTAACTAGTATTCTAAACGAAGTTATACCTACGGTGGGAATTGACAATTTATTGCAAAATGTAGTACAAAGTATGCATGCAGTAAAAACTAGTGTTTCATGAAAGGTTAAATAGGAAAATCCATTGTATTATATATACTTAAACGGATTTAGTTAGAAGTATTTGAAGCCAAAGTTTTAAAAGTAATTTTTATAATAATATTTGCAATTAGAAAACAGCTTAAAAGAATGGGTCTGCCCAGAAGACAATCAAAAAGTTTAATTAGTTTCGGAAGTGAAAATCTTGTTTCAGGGACGTAGCATCGTTTTTGAAAAGGGGGAGGGGGCAGCCAGGGGAAAAATTCAACCTACCAGAAAAAAATTGACAAAAAAGGAAAATTGTCCAAACTCGAAAATCCTATTTTGTGGGGGTAGCTGCGGAGTGGGGGGGGGGAGGGTGTAAGTTCTTCCTACCATTTTTTTTTTTTTTCATACACTACTACATTACCCTTATTTGACTATACTGCAACAAAAAGTGTGTGGGGGGGGGGGGGGGAACCAGCCTTTCCATGAACATTTTCAATAGTAATATGTTATGCTTGGAAAAAAAATGGCGTCCTGCCCCCCTCCCCCCCTTTTCCCCTTATTATACGTGCCTATGTTTTAAGTATATACATGTCTGGATAAAATTTAATGCATCTCAAAAGTTATAGAGTGAAACATTATTTAACTTGGAAGCAGTAATTACAGGGCATTTCCACATCATATGATAGGGAAAGAAGAAATGTTTTTGATGTGTGTGAAAATGAAAGCTTTTTTTTTTTTTGACTGGGAAACTTGAATTCTGATGAACCTCTCCTTCTGGTCGGCTGACGCCTTTTTCAAGCTGTATCCTAAATGGCATTTTCGATAGTAATTATACAGAAATTATCACGATCTGATTAAGTATATTTAATATAACTGATGACCCTATTTACCATTTTATAAAACACCATCAGTAATTTTATTTATATAGAGGAAAATAATACAAACATGATTTTAAACAAGTTTATTGTGATGTTGGCGATTATTGCACGTGGTCGTTTTTCATAAAATCGATATAGATTATGTAAAACATGATACGATTCATAAGATAAAATTATGTTATTCACAACATTGTATGTAAGGTGCGTATAACAATGGGGCAGGTGCAAGATAATATTATGTTTAACTGGGAACTACTCTTAACCTTCAATGATAATTGTGAAAACGACAAAATTTAGACACATAATGGAGAGCGTAGGATTTATATATGTGATGCTTGCTATATCTTACGCTCATGGTAAAGTGGATTTTGTATGAATTAATTTTTAGCAATATACATTCAAGTTGTTTCAAAGATTCAAAACTATCTTAAAGGGTTTTCAGTCTTTAAATTTAATTGAACCAATTTTAAATTTCAATTGTTCAATGAATAAAGTGCAGGTTCTGGGAAGTAGGTGAAAAAGTCATAAATGCATAAAGCAAACTTTGTTTGCTTTACTCATTCAGCAAAATTATTTTACGGATTCATTGAGCTTCAGTATTTTTCATTCTTCAAATGAATGCCTCATCAAATTTCAAACAATGCATTTTACTTTTACATAAAAAGTGTGCAAAAATACAAAAAAAAAAAAAAAAAAAAAAAAAAAAAAAAGTAACGGTTGATTGATGGGACAAAGCTTACGTAAAGATGACAATACGTATGTGTTCCATTCCATATGCAAGTACATAGATGTTCTTATCTCCAAAAGAGGCACAACTCTCTGTACACTAGTGAAATCTTTATGAGAGGTAACTCTAAACTTTGTAATTGACTGTACGTGTTCCATTTTTAATGTTTCCCATCAATTTGATAGGTTCTATATGTTGCCTCATGCATTCGGGGCAATTATACTTATAATTGATTTAGATTTCTCTTTTTTTTGTCCGCATCTGCTGTGAATTCGTAGGCATAGTAGGTATAGGCATACCAGCTTAATTGTACGATGCAACAAATTTTTTACAGAAAATAAAATTTATGCTGAGACTTCATTATTTTAGCGGATCTCAACAGACGACAGACTCAATGCAATGTCCTTCCAAATATCTGTCCCCAGACCTGTATCATCACTTTGGGGGGATGTTCCCACTGCGTCAGTTCCTGTGCAACAATTCTTGGACATCAGAATCCATCAGGGTACCCGATGGGGGCAAACAATGGCGGTTCCCTATCTTACAGTTTTTTAAATGGCGGAGGAACTCCGAATGGCGGAGGTGGATCGTCTTTTTTGTCACCAAACTCAATGAATTCCTTTTCATCTCTATCCGGGTCATCCGGGCCAGCAAACTATAATCCCGGAAATTTAGGACCCGGTAACCCCTATCTCAGCTCCGGATTCGGAAGTTCTGCAATCGGAACTAATTATAATCCAGCAAATCCGGGACAGACAAACGGAGGGATTCCCTTCGGAGCCAATAGCGGCGTCTTTGGACAACAGCCAAGTGGGTACAATGGCGGACAGTTGTCTGGACTTGGGAACCAGATTCCTGGAAATCCAGCCAATCCACTATCAGTGCACACGACTCAAGCGCCACCTACTACAACAACTCCTATTCGAACAACAGGTGTGTTTGTTGAATTACTTTTTAAAGTTTGTCTCTCAAATGCAACTTATTTTCATGAAAAAGACCAAAAAAAAAAAATACACTCTTCCGTTATAATATATTATTATATCATGTGGAGAGAAAGAAAATACATTTTTCAATATTGTTGAACATGAAAATTGTGCGTTGAGATTTTAAATGTCATACTTTCTATTTTGAATACTTATAAAAGCGACGGGAGCCACTCAGACCTGTCGTCCAATATCTTGTCCAGACATACAATACGTCCACTACATCAATGGCTGTCCAGAATGCATCAGTGAGTACAATAACATAGAGCAGAAGAGTCCAGCTAGAGTTAAATTGTATTGTTAAGTGTTGAGAAATAATTTTTGCAGCCCTGAAAGTAATTTGTTCTTATGTGCGTGCAATTTATATATATATATATATATATATATATATATATATATATATATATATATATATATATATATATATATATATATATATATATATATATATATATATATATATATATATATATATATATACAGTGTACATGTTGTATTGTACAGGTTGTAGTTGCAATCAGGTTTAGTCATACAACTAGAAGTATAAGGTTAAAGGAAGTCTTTTTTTTAAATAAGTATAATGCAAAAAAGGAAAATAAAGTAGAGAGGGAAAAAATAAATAGTTTTATTTACTTTTGTGATAAGAGCAAAAGTACGAAGTCCAAACATAATAATTGCGAATTTTAAAAGATAAAGATGAAAAAGAATCATTCGTCATTAAAGGGACATGGACACACATGCATTGCCGGTTTGTTTACAATTTTAAATGTCTATTTCAAAAATGATTTGAATGAAATATATGTAGATAACGAACAGTGTTCAAGCTCAAAGTCCATTTAAACAATACAAATCGGGAGAAGAGCAAACAATACCAGAGGTGAGATAAGGTGCCATGGAGGAGCGAGCATCCCCCGCCGACTGGCCACAACTTCCGTGCGCCCCCTCTCACGATCGGGGAAAACGGGAAAAAAAATCTCGTAGAACTAACGTAAAAATGTTTAATTCTCGATCGTAACGGTATTCTTCAAAACATTATATCAAATACCTGTGTTTGTAAACATGGGCGCGAGCTCTGCTCTTGTTTTTGTTCACGTATTACTGGGTGTGTTCGATTTGCAGACACTCTACACATCATGTGCTGGTTTTCCTTGATTATAGTTTAAAGATCTATAACATGTAGGATATAAAATTTTGATGGACATATAAACTGCAGAACTGTGTCCTTGTCACTTTAAGATGCATTTTCTATGTTTGTTTCAGTTCCGACCTCGCCATCATCTACAACAACTTCCAGGCCGACAACGACATTGAGAGCGACCTGCGCCCCCTTGCGGTGTGTAGCGCCGTGTGATAAAGGAATCGGGATAGGGCCCACAGGCTGTCCGATGTGTTTATGTAAATAAAGAACCACTAATTCTTCAACAACCTGAGTTTCTTTCCCTTCAATGTTTAGAATATATTAAATGTCAAGCAGAAAAGAAAAAATTTAAACTTTATTTGTAAAATATTAGATAAAGATCGTAAGTCCATACTCTATTCCTCTTTATTTTTCCGCATTTCGGACATTTGCGGAATAGTAATTTTGCGAATGAATAATGATTCAGAAACATATGACCGTCGTAATTTTATTAAAAGGAGAGGAAATTTAGTCTTTTTTGATAGGAAATACATATATGTATAAAACAAATAAGTAATAAATTTAAACAAGGAAACATATCACACCGGGTGAAGGCAGACTTTAAATGCAGGTTTCTCAATTTAAAGGGTTTAATTGAAGTATGCACTGAAGTTTAAATGAATTCTCTGAAAATGTTTCTTTTAACCCCTTGTAATTTGCATGTTTATACGGGATAATTTGGTCTTCTCAACACAATGCAGTCCCTTTGAACTGACAGTTATTTTAAGTAAATTAAAACCTTTAAAAGGCGTCCACTTTGCTGGTCAAAAGTGCTTCATGGTAAGAATTCTTCACCCCTCTTTCCATGATATATATTGCTGTAAATTAATTATGTACTTTTCGCAAGGCCTGGAGACGTGCCCGGAAATTGTGCTAAAACGTTTATATATTTTGAAAAACACTGTTTTTAATTCATTGTCTCTACCATTATACTAAAAATTGCTTTATTTCAATTCATTGAACGTAAACAATCTACTTCTCAATTGAAAAAAGAAATAATACATGTATATACATTTATACATTATCAACATCCATGTAGCTCACTTTTTTTAATTTAAATGGAGTTCACATATAGAGTTCCACTTGAGTTGAATTATAACAGATTTCATAAGTTTTGACCGGTCACCTACACGTAAACATATAGGAAATGACTCTTTCTTTGAGAAGCACAACGCACAGAAATGAAAGCCACAGGTCTCTCGGATGAGACATTAAAAACTGAGGTCCCGTGTCACTGTAGGCGTTGGAACGATAAAGAACCCTCACTGCTCAATGGCCCTAAGTGCCGGGTCTAAATATGAAGCCTTCACCGGCATACGGAGACGTCTCTATATGAGTGAAAAGAAAACTCGAATAGGACGTTAAACAACATACAATTTATCGATCATTAGTTCTGCTGGTTGTTGACCTAGCTGTTGCATTGGTCAAATTTAAAGTGGCCGTCTATCCACCTCTCCCACTGTCTACCTGTGCGTGTCCGGAGTCTGATGACAAGTATTTCAAAACACCTCTCTACCATTTTCATTGAAACTTCTTAAACATGTTAAGTACCTCAATTTATGAGAGAAAAAGAGAAATTTTCTTATTAATTTCCTTATAAAAACACATTTGAGAATGTTTTAACGATGCATAAAACGTAGGGATCACTTGATTTACAACACATAGCGTATACCATAATCTTCCATATTCGTGGTAAATATTGGGGGTCAGAATTTGCTGTATTGTTAGGACTAATGTTGCTAACTAGATCTAACATTTTATAATGATTTGAGGAACTCTACAAGTTGATCTAGAGCTACACCCTCGTCAGAGACTCTTGCATTTTAAATTTATTTAGCTTGTTCTTACGAATTACGAGGGAATTATAAATACAGATGTGTAGAATTTTTGTTTGCGGAGGAGGGGATGAACGTTTTGGGTGAATAATCCTCTGCTTTATAATGTTAGATTTTCATTTAAACGCTGCTTGACCCACCCCACCCCTTCCAGTTTTTGTTGAAGTATAGTCGAACTCTGAAAAATTCTTGTGCACATTGAAAAAAAAATACATAAAATTGAGTAAGAGTAAGACCCCATCACCACCTCAAAATTGGATTTTTGGCAATTTATTTATTTTTTCTAAATTAATTTTTTTTAAATTTCTTTTTATTTTAATTTTTGATTGTCAAATTTTTTGGAGATTCCCCCACCCTCTTCGAAAAATCGTCGCTGCAGGCCTGTAATTATAGTATACATAATATGATAATTGTTTGAAAATATTTAATCTATCTTTATCTCAATTCTTTTCTTTTCTTTAATTTCTTTATATCCTATAACATACTTTAAATCTTTTCACATATACTTTTTTATTATCAAACTTCTACTTGGTCCATTTCCCAAACTCTACCCCCCCCCCCTTTTCCCTTCCCTTCCCTCTGACCACAACCCTTAACTCTGAATGTCATTTACTAAATAATTTTCATGGTCTTTTAATACATTTCGAAGAAAATTTTCACGGTTTATGAAATATGAGGATTTTAGTATCTGATCTTCAACATACCGCTTCTGTATTCATTTTTCAACGAAATTCATGCACTGAACAAATTAAATACAAACTTTAATCCGTTTTAATGTCTTCAATTAAACCAACAGAGAAATCTTGAGCGTATGTATATATATCGCCTGGTTCTATCAGAGTATACTTATATAGCAAGGTGTTGTCCAAAAATGCCATAAATGTCATAAATTAATAGTTTAATTGATATGTCCCTTCCCATTTTAAACCAGATTCTCTGCCCCCCCCCCCCCCCAAAAAAAAAAAAATATGACCCCAAGCATTGCATGCATGTAAATTTAATAACCAAATATGAAAACATGTGATGTACTTCACATACCGGATCACTGCGTCATGTTTACTTATAAGAATTTTTATTCAATTTTGTTGAAAAAGGTAATAAAAAATATATGTGCATAATTGCAGAAAATCTCAACCCAATCATTCGTCATAGACGTGAAGGATGTGCAGATTTTGTAACAAACCTTCCATCATGCATTTTGCATAAGCTGTCAATGTTGTATTTTTGAGGAAGTATAAAAGGTTCCCTTCACCAGAGCACTTACAGCTTATCTAGCATGGAATTCTCAAAAATGGCTGTCAAAATGTTGTAAGTTTAGATGTCTTTTTTATTACATTTATTTCGACATTAAAGTTTAAGAGAGAGAGGAGAGAGAGAGAGAGAGAGAGAGGGTTCATGCTTTTAAAAAACCTGACTTTTTATTCTCCCTAAGCATTTATTATTATTATTATTATTTTTTTTTTTTTTTTTTTGCTGTGCATTCTTGTAAGATTCAATAACATTTAAATGATCATCGGCCAAAAAAAAAACCTGGAAGAAAAAGTATCCATTATCTGAAATATTGATACTACAAACGGTTTAAAATTACATGGGAGGAAGGTCTGCAAAAAAAAGAGAAAAAAATGTGAACTTCAATAAATAGATAAATTTTGAGAGAGAGAGAGAAAAAAAAAATCAGCAACATAAATGGATATAAAATCTGACTTTGAAATCTTGATCTTTGATGAATGATAAATCCCTTTTGTTGATATATTTTGTCCCCGACAGAGTGTTTCCTTTTAATTTTAGTTGTAACCTAAGTAACGTCGCAAACCATAAAAATAAATTTATTCCTCATTTCAAAGTAAACACCTCGAATTATATATATCCTTGTGTCGTTAAACTTTAGGTGACTTTTCGAACAAAAAAAATTTTTAGCATATTCCCTGAGTAAATATTTTCCACAGGAACACTCAGTCTAGATAAACCATTTACGAATAAGCAGGTGAGTTTTAGTTTTCTTATTATTCAGGGGCGGGGGGGGGGGGCACAAAACGTTAATTAACTAACATTCCGCATTCAACTTTCAACTCCGCAGATAAATGTGCATCTCCTTGAAATATGCTTTATGCTAATTTGCTTCGCTTGAGTTGTAATGCGGAAAATAACAAATAAAATTAATATTTTGAGCCTACAAGTTTAAATAAAGTCTTGTGTAATGGACTCTTTATATAACAATTCCAAATACTCATATAGATAATACAGTATAAGCTCTCTATATGTACATTTTTTCATTATTTTAATTGTTTCAAAAAAGATCATTACCTATGTACAGAGCCCCATCTCACGTTTTATATTGTGCACCATTTTAGACTTATAATGCATAAATTCAGAGGTTACGCAAATAAATCTCAATTTTTTTTTTTTAATATTTGAACTCTGTTTAAAATCCATTAAATGACGTCCACTTAAGTAAATTATGTACTGTTTTGAATCGCACACTGCCACGAAGTCGAACTCCTTTGTACGGTATGCACTTGTGAATAGTGTTATAAAAACACATTTTTTTTTTCATTAAATGAAAACCGAATGCATTAAATATTCCATATGTATAGCTATTTGGTGTAAAAAGCTATTTATCAAACGAAACTAAGATTATGCATTGTCACGAGACAAGGGACCATAGCAGAGGGTTTTTTTTCTTTTGTTTTTTAAAAATAACATTGCACATTATGGTTTTATTGTGTGTGTGAGAGAGAGAGATTTCTTTGTGATTCTATAAGGTTATAAATGAATCTACTCCTCTTGTAAGTTTAAAAGATTAACTACGTCTTCCTGATGAAGTGTTTAAAATGCCAAGCTCATTTTGAATATAAATATTTAATTTAACAAAAATGCTATTTGTTTACATACCGTAATATAATTGGCATTAGTTTTTATTAATAAGTTGAATGAAATGTAAACATTTGAGGGGCCGCCATAAAGTTTTATGTTGTGAACTAATACGGAACACTTTGTCACTGTTTGTCGAGAGCTTTCTGTCACAAATGTATACATTTCAACGGTTTTCAAACACCCAGTGTCCACATTCTCCCTGAGCACTCGGCCATTAAGAAAAATGACACAGAAGCGAGACCGTTATAGCACGTTAATGTTTTCCTCCAAAATTACGTTATATTATTATTTTTTTATCATTTAAATAAGGCGTTTTCTGGCTGACCAAGAATATTTAGAAGAATCAATGTACCATGTCATCTATCAAAGCACAATCGGGATCCTGTAAAGGGGAGACAAAAATTTCATCCAAAATGATGAGGTCCAAGAAAAAAGGAGGTCTTGCAAATCAGAATTTGCTCCACGCACTGCTCCCTGGGGCCAAAGTGGACAAAAAGAAAGGAGGGAAAATATCCGTGAATATGGCATTCTCTCGTGAGCGAGTGGTTTTCAATGTCGGAGGTACCAGGTTCGAGACGTATCGCTCAACATTACACAGCCAACCAAACAGTCCGTTAGCGGACGATACATTTCTTAAACGCTATTACAACGAGGACCGGAAGGAATATTTCTTTGATCGTGATCCGGATGTGTTCAAGGTAAAGATGAAAATGGTCGATCTGAATTTGTTCAAGATAATAATGAAATTAATCTGAATGTGTTCAAGTATGAAATTGATCTGAATGTGTTTAAAATTAGAATGAAATTGATCTAAATGTGTTCAAGATAAGGATGAAATTGATCTGAATGTGTTCAAGATAAGGATAAAATTGATCTGAATGTGTTCAAGAGAAGGATGAAATTGATCTGAAAGTGTTCAAAATTAGGATAAAATTGAACTGAATATGTTCAAGATAAGAATAAAAGTAATCCAGACGTGTTCAAGGTTAGGTAGAAAATCTGGATGTGGTACATGTAGGGAAGAATATCATGACGGTAGGCTTATAAATCAACTGATAATTAATATAACCTTGACATAAACAATGGAATTTTAATTTATTCGAGGAATAAAGTATTAAGGTTGGATTCTAATTACTAGACGTGAAACGGAAATTCTGAACAGTTCCTAATTTTGAGTTTTTTACGTACGAGTACGTATTAGTTCCTTCTAAACCAACCATATCCTTGTATTAAACATCCTTTTATATAATAAGAAGGACAAGGGCGTATTTAGAGGGTTCCGGACCTCCCTGGAATTTTCTGAGTCATTAAATTTCTATGTAATTAGTAACCAAAAAACTAACCTTAGACACCCCCCCCCCCCCCGAAGGAAACACGGACCCTCCTTAAAACGGTAAGGAGAGTCATCTATCTGAGGAAAAATGTCAAATGTCTTCTCCTACCCCCCCCTCCCCCCCCCCCCCACACACACACATAAACGCAATGGGATTTTCAGATTTAAACAAGTTGTTCAGGTTTTTGTGTCTGCTCGTCAGAAAATTTCCAGTTACAGTAAAAAGAATTATTCTTAATAGAGATATTCTATTTCTTTCTAAAGTTTTCTTTCTAATCACTTTACACGGCCAAAAGGTCACAATATGTACTTCCGAAACAGCGCAGTCACGCCCATACAAATAGTAAACATTGACATCATGTTGTTTCACAATTAACATTAAGACTGTCTGTAGAGCTGAAAACAGATTAGATATTTCTGCAAAGTTATATGATTAATGTCTTTGTAAAAGTGCGTCTGCAAATGTTCAACGGCGTTTGACAAGGAGTAGAATTAATTTTAGGGAATGATTACGTAATTCGAACATTTCGTGACAAGAAAATACTACACATGTATTTACCATACGTTTTCTAAGTGTTATTTGCCCAGACGTTATGCATAATGAATGATTGTTTATTTCTCTGTAATTAATTATCTAAAATGATAAATCATCATAATAGTGATCCATAGATTAATAATAACATGCATTTTTGCTTCGATATGTAGTGCTTGTTTGTTTGGTTATTGTATATATGAAGCATTAATTGAAAATTTACAATACATATGAAAATTTATAATTCACAGGCGATTCTGAATTACTTACGGACTGGGGAGCTTCACCTTCCTTCTTTTATATGCGGCCCTGCAGCGAGAGAGGAGTTAATGGTGAGAAATGCCAAATACCACTTTGACTGGTAGTATGAGCATGTTGCATGTTTGTTAAATTTGACTTTGTTTTAAATGCGTGGGTCATAACAATTTCAGGGGTGCGTGCATGATCTTAGCGGTCACGCAGATCTGCGTGGAAATATGCTAGCCTGGCCGCTACGTAGCGTTCAATAGACTTAGATATCTGACATATAAGCAGGGCTGGTAACTATGATCTTGAACGAAGTCATGGCTTGCGACTCAAACTCTCTGGTTGAGAATTTAATTGTACAAAGCCCGCATGCTCTGGATGAAACTATGCAATTCCGGTAACTGAAAGTCTATAGCTACTGACTGACTGGCAGAGTTCTACCATTCAGTCAACTTTCCACATCTTTCAGTGATCATTGATGATTCAGTTGACTGAATGGTGCAGTTCCATCTTATGGCATATCAGAACTGGACGATTGGCTCAGAAATTTTTCTTTCATTTTTTGTTATTTTTAAACTCTTAAACAGGAAGTATTTGAAAGGAAGAAAAAGGGATAGATGTGTGGTACACCTTTCTCTTCACTGTGAAAATGGAAGAAAATCAAAATTCAGTATCGGACATCATACCCTTTAATAAAAATAAATTATGAAAGAGCGAGCTTAAATAAAATTCACATTTTATAAGAAGGATGAATAAGTCTAGTTTGAAGGATGAATAAGTCTAGTTTAAAGTGAATGTAATCGAATCATGGTGGAATCAGCTAAAATAAAATTAGAATTAAATGCAGTCATCATTCCGTTGTAGTTTTGGGGTGTCAGTGACGACATCATACAGAAGTGCTGCTGGTCGCACTATAACAGCTGGAACTCTACACTGGAGGCGCTGATGCAGCTGGAAAGGGACCGGAAGGGATCCATGGACGAGGTGTTGAGTTCAAGGGTCAAACCAACGACCTGCTGGGGTAAAATGCAGAACCAAGTATGGTTGGTTCTGAACAAGCCGAACTCCAGTCGGACCGCCAAGGTTTGTGTGTATGAGAAGTTGTGTTGTTTTAGAAATACTGTCACAAATTTCAAGCGAGGATATCGAGGAGATATCCAGGGGTTTGGTCAATTTCGACAACATTTCACTGGTCCTTTAATTCATTCACAATTTAAGGAAAACACAAGGCTTAAAAAGTAACAACTAATGGATGACGAAGAAGAACAACCCCCTACCCCCCCCCCCCAACCCCCTCCACCACCAGTTCACAATAGTTTTTTCCATAATATTTATAAAAACCAGTTGATGCAAGCTAAAATAGTGAAAGATCACTGGACATAAACAAATTATTTCTGGTCCCTATTTTTATGGCTTTTTGAATTTTGACCAGACTTAATGTTTAGCGCGAGCTCATGCAGCAACTGAAGTTCAACTTTAAAAAAAAACTACCATGAATCAAAGGCACTATGTACAGGCTTCTAAAACAAAAATAAATTTTATGTTTGTTATAAAGTCACCTTCATTTGATGACTTTGTGGTGTGAAAATATGGATGAAACAGAATCATAAAACATAAAATGTAATACAAGTAAAACCAGGGGACTCTGTAGGATTTCCAGTTGAGGGTGGAGGGCGTAAAGTTTTTATTACATTTTGCGTCAAGAATAATGTTACCAGGCAAAGCGGCCTAATATTTTGTTTGTGTAATACTGTTAATGAGTATATTTGTCTATAGTCTCTTCCTTTAAATTAATGTTCTCTATTAAATTTAGATTTTTTTTTTTCAATTTGAATTCGTTTATCACGGTTATCATATATCATATACAAATTGAAAGTGAAAAACAAAATAAGAATTTGGTATAGGACTCTATTTAACGCTTGAACTTTCCTGTGGTTTATTTCAATATATAAACACCTTGGTTCCTCTTTCTTATAGTAAAGCGCCCATTTACTATTTCGTGTAAAGTTTAAGAAGCAGCAACAGTTTAAAAAAAAAAACAAGAACTCTGGCTGCGCCACGGAACATTGTTTTATACTTGAACCACAGAGCCAGGATATAGATATATAATATTTATGTATCTAATATGTGAATCCTCAAACTAGATTATTAAATTTTATCTTACCGGTACTTGATTTTGCTTTGATCTTGAGGTAAATATGATAACATGAAATGTAATAGCCGCTGTTTAAAACGATCAAATGATAGTGCAATAGCTAAATTTTATTTAAAATTCGGAAAATGTTTTTAAAAAATTTCCAATGAATAAATTCCTAATATTTGACCCCTAACATAGATTATCATTACACTTGGCTGGTTTTGTTGCAAATTGTAAGATCAAAATAATGTAATAATTTCATTAAATATTACATATTGTAACATGGCTGATAACCCGCACCTATATACATGTACAGCTGTTTTTTCAAATTTGTCGATTTAGGAAGATATTAGGTTAAAATCCATCCTTCACTATAGACATATCAGGGCATATTATGGCGTATATAAAAAGACTTAAGTAATGGCTATTTTAGCACAGACGTAGTGTTTTCCTTTTTAAATTTTATGTGAACAAAGAGCATAAAGCTTTAAATTAAAGGATTACAACAATATATTGAAATCCTTTCGCCATAGTTTACGAACAATTAATTACATCTTACAAACATACGATTAATTCAACACAGATTTAGAAATTTGAATGTTAGCAGTGTCTTGCCGTGGGACAATACAAGACACTGATTATTGGGGAAAGTAAAATAAATCTCACATCGAAAGAAATGTGAAACGGCGCATTAAACAGGGGCTAATAAAACTCTTAAATCCATGCTGGCAACTGAATTTTAATTGTGGGGATAAAAAATAAACCGGTGGGAATGGGCCAAGGGAATACAACGCTGTTGTCGTCATAGTTAAGTTCTGGTTATGACCTAGGTCACCCAAATATTTTTTTTTTAATTTTATCACAGGTGCTTGGGGACAGCCCTCCTCCTTGTTCCCTACCCCAAGGGTTCTTCGACTTTTTTTAAATAATATATTTTCTATGACACATTCACAAGGTATTACAACTGTAAAATCCAAAATATAACTTAAAATTAGCTTTTTTTAAAAAAAAAAAATTTACACTTTCTGATACAAAAAGAGAACCCGTCCCGAAGCACCTGTGAATTTTATAGGTGTTCCGTTGTCTTTAATCAGTGTATTGTCATATCTAATATCATTTATATGCTTGCTTATTGAAAAAAATGTATATCTAAGAATCAAACATCATTTTTGGTGCACATATATGGTTACCTAGTTGTCGTGGACTTCGATTCGATCGAAACGATCAGTTAGAATTCTTTGTGTATATCATGAGCGACAACTCATGCTAACCTCTTTCAAAATTTTCTTTCTTTCTGTCGACCGGTCTGTGTGATTGAAAAAAATGAAACATTTCGAATGTCTCCGTTTTACAGCAAACCAAATATATATGTATATTAGAAGCAGTGCTATACATTTATTGATTGGGTTCAAGGGCAGCATGCGTTATGTCGGACCCAAACTCTTCGGTTCGATGGGTCGACAGAAACGCATATTGCATGGGAACACAGACAATAAATGTTTTGTTATACTTTTATTTTCTTTTATTTATTTATTTGAAATATGTATCTTGTGCTGGCTTCCATTTACCCGCATTGCAGTAAAACTCGGTCAATTCTGTCACTGCCGAACACCAACGAATGCAAATAAGATTTAGCTGATCCCGGCCACAGTGTGACGTAAGCGGTCCAATATCCATCGGCCATCGGGTCCGTAGAACGCAGGGGGGGAGGGGGCAGTTGGCCCAACCCTCATCCCACTTTTTTCTGAGTAAACTATTTTGCTATAGTAAATTTTCCTTTAGATGCTGCCCCCTTTTTTATGTGTTAAAGTCGAGCACCGGCAAATTTCAGGATATGGACAGTAAATTACCTTTTTTTTTTTTTGCTTGTCAGATAATTTTGGGAAGTTGACCCCCCCCCCCCCCACTTCTGGTCAGTTTATCATTATTATTTTTATTTATTTATTTATTTTTTGCTTGTCACATTTTTTAGGGAAGTTGCCCTTCCCCTACTTTTGAAACCGTTGCTACGAGCCTGTCCATCGACAAGCTCCAATATCTCACTCTGCGGTCAAACATTGAACGGATTTTTTTTATGACCGCTCAGTTAAACATTGGATATGTTAGATTTTTTTTGTATATAGATTTATATAGGAACCAATTTTTAAAGGCTATAACAATATTTTTCTATCGTCAGATTTATATCTGTATACATGTATCACTGACGGGGATTCGTCAGTTTGCCTATTATAGATACATTTACAAATTGCAAGAAATTGAATGTTTTAGTCGTACAGCATTTCGTTCTACAGCAGAAAATTATATGTACTTGTTCATGTTTTTGAAACTTGGCAGAAATACTTGGTTTGTTTTACTTTTTTACCTTCAGATATCTGGCTCAGTGACTGCGTATCGCTGATGTCGGTCCGTCTGTTTGTCTTTGCATTGGAAAAGATAAATGATTTTAAGTACATGTACCTTTTTCCCTAAAGCTTGCAAGTTCACGTATATTAGTAGAAATATGTAAAATATTTCGTTTTTGTTTTACTTCCAGATGTATGGCTACGTATCACTGTTGTTCGTTCTCGTATCCATAGGCAGTTTTGTGATCGAGACGCATCCTGTCTTTGAAAACAAAATACGAATACCAAAACCCGGAACCGGAAGTGCTACACAAAATATGACGTCATCAAACTTTACATCGTCGAATGCGACGACAGTGAATTCTTCATCCCATCTTAATAATGTGGAATTCATTTCGGTGAAAGTAACACATCCAGTTTTCACGGCAATAGATATTTCCTGCCTGATATTTTTTACTATAGAATACATAACACGGTTCCTATTTGCCAGGAGAAAATTCAAATTTATGAAATCCATGATGGGCGTGGTCGATATCCTGGCCATTATACCGGATTACATTCAAATCCTTGTTTACGCCCTACACCCAGATATGCGATATGACGTAGACATTAATTATATCTCCGTTTTACGAGTTGCTCGAGTTTTAAGAATTTTCAGATTAATCCGTCATGTTCCTGGATTATGGATTCTAATATACACCCTAAAGTCAAGCCTTAAGGAACTACTTTTAATGATCGTGTTCATCATAGTTGGTATGTTAATATTTTCGTCATTGATCTATTTTGTTGACGACAGAGACACTTTCAAAAGCATTCCGCACAGTTTTTGGTGGAGCCTCATCACCATGACAACCGTTGGCTATGGAGACATGTATCCCGTGACGGAGTTAGGATACATTGTGGGGTCGTTTACGGCATTATCCGGGCTTTTAATGATCGGATTCTCAGTTCCGGTTCTCGTGAATAACTTCATCATGTACTACAAACATCTGGAATTCGCGTTGAGTGACGAAGAAGCAAAAGAAAAAGTGGAAAGTGAAGAAATTGAAAAAGAAACGTCTTTGTACAATAATAATCCCTCTACTAACGGTGAACAAGTCAACCTATGCAATGTCCACGAGGAACAGACTTAAAACTCTAGGATTAAAGACCTTTAGCTACTGGCGAAAAGCAACAAGGACGATCTGCATTTAAAATTGCACGTACCAGTACTTCCTGTTTAGAAGATTCATAAAATCTAGATAAAGTTAGTGATATCCAAATGACTACACGATGCAATTTCGCTTCGAGTCGGATTTGTGACTTTGAGATGAAAAAATATGTTTGCATTGTTAAACTGTTATTTGTATGAAATAGTTTTTTTTCTATTTTATCGAGCAATAGAATTTATGGATACTTGACTGAAATATGTATACTTAGGGACGTTTATATTCTGTTTGTGAACTTGATATGGGTTTTTGAAAGAATTTTTGAAAATAAATGTTCACATTAGTATGTATTTACATGTGGATTACATGCACACAGAAAGCCCTTTTACTGTTCTCAATCAACAACTCTACCATGTTTATTGTTAAAAAGGTATGTGCATATTCTCGATAGTAAAAAAAAAAATGAAGTCAACGCTAGAACGGTATAAATGTGTAATGTAAATATCATTGTTAATAATTTATTGGTTAGTACATTTGTTTGAATTGTCGATATCAGCAAGAATGTTAAACCTTATATTAAGGCGAGTGCTTTGATTTGAAACTTCAATTTTATTTAATTAGTTTGACAGTGTTGTAATCATCATGTTTGCATTGTACATATATCACAATGTAGTATACAGTTGAACTTCGTTATCTCGAACACCAATATCTCGTTACCAGTTTTTATGTTTGTTTCTTTAAAACCCCGTCAACCCGAATCCTTGGATACCCCGAACTTTAATCTTGGTCCCGTCGAGTTCGAGATAACGAGGTTTGTCTGTATTTGTCTCGATTTTGAAGAAGCAGTCGTTGTCTTCCACATTATATCAAACGTTAATCTAACCTTTAATATTTGAATTATATATTTTTGTTAAAAAAATAAAGAAAGAAATAGAATGTTACATTTAACATGTTTTAACAATGTAAATATTGTGATAAGAATTTCACGAAGTGATGCATTTAAAAAATGAATTGGAAAAAGAATTTTTTTTTTTTTTTTTTTTTTTTTTTTTTTTTGTTAACAATATATTTACTTGAAATTTTATACAAAGATTTTTACATAAAGCTGCACTTTAAGGTGAGCCTGTAGAAAAAGGAAATTATTACTGCTCTTATCGGAAAATTATGTTATTATTAAAAAGCCAAATAAAAAAAAATATATTAACGAGGTCTTATTCCATGTTTATTTTAAGCAGTTAGAGTGAACTGCCATCAGATCTAAAATGAAATATATTAAAATCTACAGTATATTACACATTTTTAATTTGTTCAAGCATTAGGCCTAATTGCATGGATTTATTATATTATTTACATATAATTTCCCCGTTTTAAAAGTTAAAAGTAAGCAGAGAGTTGTCCCCCTTTTTTGACCACAAAGAAAAAGTTGTGTAAAAATATCTTTAACTGCGTGAATTCGATAGAAAAGGAATTTTCACAGAAGTAAGTCACTAATACTTTTTATACCCGCACTTTCAAAAGAAAGTTCGGGTATATTGTAGTTACTCATGTCTGTCCGTCCGTCCGTCTGTCACACTCTTCTTTCTCAAACTCCTCTTACATTTTACACAGTAGCCTAATCATCTTTTGGGAGATGGTTGGTGGTGTCATGTAGATGTGCAGTAAGGTTTCGGAATTTTCATTTTCACCCTGGGGGTCAAATGGGGGTCGAAAAATGACGTTTTTTTATGCAAAAAGCCCCTGGTTCCCTGAACTCCTCTTACATTTTACACTGTAGCCTAATCATCTTTTGGGAGATGGTTAGTGGTGTCCTGTAGATGTGCAATAAGGTTTTGGAATTTTCATTTTCACCCTGGGGGTCAAATGGGGGTCAAAAAATGACGTTTTTTATGCAAAAAGCCCCTGGTTCCCTGAACTCTTCTTACATTTTACACAGTAGCCTAATCATCTTTTGGGAGGTGGTTGGTGGTGTCCTGTAGATGTGCAATAAGGTTTCGGAATTTTCATTTTCACCCTGGGGGTCAAATGGGGGTCGAAAATGACGTTTCTTATGCAAAAAGCCCTTGGTTCCCTAAACTCTTCTTACATTTTACACAGTAGCCTAATCATCTTTTGGGAGGTGGTTGGTGGTGTCCTGTAGTTGTGCAATAAGGTTTCGGAATTTTCATTTTAACCCTGGGGGTCAAATGGGGATGAAAAATGATGTTTTTTTTAATATAAAAAGACCCTGGTTCCCAGAACTCCTCTAACATTTTACACAACAGCTTTATCATCTTTTGGACTGATTATGATTGATTATTATTGTTTAATGCCTAGGCGGCAATATTTCAGCCATATTTCGGCGATCAAATTAAGTGTATATTCCCATTTATGAATTTTGACACAAATTTAAGAAAAGTGAGGTCAAGGTCAAAAAATATTGATGCAGTTGAATAGCTCTCATTAGTATGTATCAGCATATGAAGTTTGATTTAAATATCTTGAATGATTTCATGAAAACTGAACTAAATACTAATTTAAGAAAAGTGACGTCAAGGTCAAAGGAAAGGTCAAGGTCAAAAAATGTTGATTCAGTTGAAAAGCTAACATCAGTTTGTATCAACATATGAAGTTTGATTACACTTTCTTGAATGGTATCTTTAAAATTGAGCTAAACTCTAATTTAAGAAAAGTGAGGTCAAGGTCAAAGGAAAGGTCAAGGTCAAAAAATGTTGATTCAGTTGAATAGCTTACATCAGTTTGTATCAACATATGAAGTTTGATTACACTTTCTTGAATGGTATCTTTAAAATTGAGCTAAATCTAATTTAAGAAAAGTGAGGTCAAGGTCAAAGGAAAGGTCAAGGTCAAATAATGTTGATGCAGTTGAATAACTTAGATCAGTACGTATCAACGTAAGAAGTTTAATTACACTATCTTGAATGGTATCTTTAAAACTGAGCTAAACACATTTAAGAAAAGTGAGGTCAAGGTCAAAGGAAAGGTTAAGGTCAAAAAATGTTGATGCAGTTAAATAAGTCTCATCAATATCTATCAGCATATGAAGTTTGATAAAAATATATTTGATAGTTTCTTTGAAGCTGAACTTTAATCAGAGCTAAACGCAAAGCTTGACGGAAAGACAGACGGAAGGATGAAAGGACGGAAGACGGACATGACAAACACTATATGCAGTTATGCACTAGCCATATTCATGGCGGGGCATAAAAACAAGGTAAAAAATTTTGTTTGCATGCACCCTTTCTCAATACCACTTCTTCATGTTCCAGGATTGAAGTTTTAATGTCAAAAGGTTCTTAAGTTATAGTTTGGAGGTCTTTTTCTCAATCTGACCTTGAATGAAGAAAGGAGTCAAGGTCAAAATTTTAGTTCAGTGCATCTTTTGTAAATGTCTTTTTTCTATGTTACAAATTTGAAATCCTAATGTCAAAGGGTTCTCAGGTTATAGCCTGGACTATATTTTTATGTAAAGATTGACCTTGACCTTATTGTAGTAATGTGGCTAAGGTTTATTTTCTTACTATTAAATAAATGAGTCAACCATTGTTTCGAATATGTTCACAATAGAAAGATAGATGAATATGATAGAAAAATAGATGAGAGAGAGATAGAATTTTCATGGTATAGAAAAATCATAATTGCTCCCTTTTCCCTAAGAAATATGTGATGCTTTAAGTCACTTATCGACACCTGCATCTACCGAACTTAAAATATAAAAAAGAAAAGAAAAAAGAAAGGAAACAATCATTCCTCCATTATTTCTAAGACCCATCTCCCTTTTATTACAGTTACGAGAACCTTTGGAAACAAGACAACTCCTAAACATTTTTAAAACGTCATCACCGAAAAGTTATCCAACCAGGTTAAAATTGTTAATATAACATAACACGTCTATTACGTACACTCAGCCGTATTTTAGACGAAATATCAGTTGAAGTGTAGACCGTCACCGGTTCGAGATTTACACGTTTTCCAGAATCAAAACATGAAGGCTTGCGAAGAGAAGTGGATGTAGGCGAAAGCCTGTCCACTTCTTTAAAGAGAATAGTCGCCCATGTGGCGCAGTGGTTAGAAGCTCTAGAGTCGTGGAGTAAGGAGTTGATCCTTAAGTCGCGTGTTCAAATCCACTGCGGGACGTGGAGACCAGTTCTTCGGATGAGACTGTATAAACCGAGGTCCCTAGTTGTTGGCACAAAAAAGATCCCTCAATGTTCAACGGCCCTAAGTGTTGACCATAGGTAATGGCGTCTCCATATGAGCAAAAAATTCTCGAGAAGGACGTTAAACAACAAACAAACCCCGTTCTATACTAAACGTTTAAAATAATATATTCATAATGTACTTACCGCCTGTTATAGGTACTGTTAACTTGATAGAATAATAAATCCATTTAAAACACACACTAAATATTAATAATCCCAGTGGTAATAATGATATACATACACCATGTGCAAAACAATAATGATAACGGTAAAAGTAGTGCTAGCAGTGTGTCGTAATTCCACGCACGAGTCTAGAAATTTTCCAAAAAAGGTGTACATTTGTAAAACTTGTATTATAATTACATACAATTTTTTTTTCATAAGTTTATGTTAAATCTATTCGAAATATGACAGGAAAACGGGTGAATCGTGGGTGGGGGTTGATTTTTGACAAAGTTGATTGGGTCAAGATTTGGAAAGGGGTTCTCCGAGTCCTACCCAGATACTGATAAAAATTTGCACAAGTTGTAATTTTGGCATCTAATTTTTTTTAAGTTCATCAAAAAAGCTATGCACTAAATTAATAATATTTGTTGTTTTGACAATAAATTCAAGAAGTTCCAATTATGGGTAGAAAATTAACCACCCTCTTTTTTACACAAATCTTTCAAAAATTCTCTCTTTATCAGAATTTACATTATTAGGTAATATCAAACTGGTAATGAAATATTTACATGCGCGGATCTTGAAGGAGGGGGGGGGGGTCCGGAACCTAAAACCTCAACTAAAAGTGACCTTGGACCCCCCCCCCCCCCCGAAAACACGGACCCCTGTTAAGTTGGAACGAAAAGTTATACATATGAAGCTTAAAAAGTGAGCAGCCAAACCCCCCTCTCCCCCCCCCCCGTCACTTGACAAGCCAAAAAAAGTTCTTTTTCAAAACTCAAAATACTCAAATATCATATTTCGTGGGGTGAGGTGGGGGTGGGTTCCAACTTCTTTCAGTACCACAATTTTATATGTTCACTACTACATTACCTTTATTTGACTATAATGCAACAAAAAGTGGGGGAGGGGGATGGGGGGAAACAACCCTTTCAAGAACATTTTCCATAGTAAAAAGTTATGTTTCGAAAAAAGTGGGGGGCAGGCCCCTCCCCCCCCCCTCCCCGATGCTACGTGCCTGCATTTAGAGGCAAACACCTTAGTGCGGGTATTACTGTCTTATGACAGCATCTTTTTTTTGTTTGTTTGTTTTTTTATCCTTTCTAAACTTTAACCTAACCATTTGCATTTCGGTTTATTTTACCCCAATCTATACTTAAACTTGTACTTACCGACTATCATAGGTCCTGCATGTCAACTTCATGAAATATAATCCAATTAAAACCCAAAATGAATAAATTCCTACTGATATACATGTAATGATTGCACCATCTAAAAATAATAATGGTAAAACTAGTACTAGTAGGGTGACGCAAGCCCAATGTGATGTAGAAATTTTCAAAAAGGTGTTCACATACATGTACAGTACAAGAACAAATTTTAAGTTATCATAACAAACGATGGTTACACATAACTTTGCCATCTAGGCCTATTTCCAAAAACAGGCAAATTGTGTGTGTGTGTTGGGGGGGGGGGGGGAGGGGGTGACAAAATTGATTGGGTTTGGCTTTTCAAGAAGGTTTTTGCCTAATCAAATACTAAAAAAAAAGTTTGCACATTTTGATAAATTCATTAAAAACACTTTGTACTAAAGTAGTATTATTTGTTGTTGAGAAAATAAAATTTAAAAAGTTCAATTATGGGC